CCGGAAAAAGGCTCGAAGTCTTTGATTAAAAAGTGCATGAGTGGCAAGTAAAGACAATGAAGACGAAGAGAGAATTTGTCAGGAGCAGCGTTCGTTTACTTGTTTCACAGTGAGGGAATTTTACATACCATTCAAGGGAAGTATGAGTTATCTGTAGGAGTCCTGGCGGTGAAGTGTCGATGAGTTGAGCTACGATCCTCAAAGTCAGTAGTTCAAAACCCCTAGCTGGCTTTGTACTCATAAAGAATTACACTCTTGGAAACCCACGGGGGCGGGGAGGGGGGGTGGGCAGTTCTACCCTGCCCTATAGGGTCGCTATGAGTCAGCATCTACTTGATGGCAGTGAGATTTGTTTGGAGTTTATGAGTTATCTGTACATGAGAAGATCATATCTAGGGATTTCTTGTATTTTGTAGGAAACTGGTCTCCGTTAGGCTGACCGACGCAATATAACATAATCATTCTGGGGAGACCCTTCACACAGGGAGGAGGCTTGAGGTTACAAGTTCACACACACACACACACACCCCACACACACCCCAACCCCCCCAGATTTTCTTAATGAATAGAATGGCAGGTTCTGAAAGTTAACAGTGGAGCGAGAGTCTGCCTGTTAGAAGCACCAGCTGAACTCCACAGTCCCCGTGCTGTTTCCCTGACGGTAGCCTTTCACTGATATTCTACAAAGAGTCAGCACGCTTCCTTACAGGCTTATGTGGAGCAGGTGAGGAGAATGGGCCTCCCCTGCCCTGCTTCATCTTCACCCACGAGGTACCCAGACAGTTGTACAACCTCTGCCCTTTCTTGACCAGCGTGGGCAGAAAGAGCAATGGTTGTAGTGATGACTCCCTGTGCTCCCCTGCTTCCTGCTGGGTTGTTCTGTGCCAGGTTAACATCTCCAAGTCCTACTTTCGGGTTTATATGCTTAACTTAACCTTGAGAATGATGTAGCGATTAACTTAGGTAGGGTTGGCATTCTTTCCTAACAAAAGTACGGAACAACATCTAAAGTCTTCCCTTCATTGTTCGTATAGAGTCCCTGTGCACACGATTGCGTCATAAAATAGATGAACTACAACAGAATCTTGATGAGACACCGTTCTTTGTGTGGGTGGAGATGAGCTACATGGGATGGGGTCTGCTTTGAAACGTGTGAGCCGCTCAGTACAGACTCCTGCTGGCTCCAACACTGGGGACACGTCAGAATCATTGGTTGCGTTTTTCACAAAGAAGCTGCCCCAGTTCTACTGACAGGCGAGACCTCTGGAATCAGAATTTCTGAGCTGTGCCCAGTTACATACACCTTGAAAAAGCCCTAAAAGTGGTTCTGGTGTTCAGCCAGGTGAAAACCGCTGGACCTTAGATCCCGGGGGACGCAGAATCAAAACTGTACCGAGTTGCTTTCACACTCATTTAATAATATGTGGATTCTTGCTCTCATTGCCTACTGAGTTTTGGCTGTCTATTGCTGCATGACAAACTGCCCCAACACGTAGTGGCTTAAAATAATAAGAGTTTGTAAGTTCACATGTGTCTGGAAGTTCTGCTTCACAAGGTGTCAGCAGGGACCCTGGAACAGCTGGAAGGTCCAGAATGACTTCACTCACATGGCTGATAGTTAATACTGGCCCCTGTCATGGAGTGCAGCTGTGGCTATAAACCAGGGTTCTCTATCCATCTCCACGTGGGCATCTCCATATGGCTGCTTGGGTTTACTTATAGAATAACTGGGGGTTGGAGTCCAAAAAGGAGAATTTCATAAGGACAAGCCCTAATACATCTGTGGTAATGCTTTCTTTTAGAAGAATTAATACCAGACTATTCCCAAGGAGTTGGAGATTAAAGATATCCCAAATAGCAAACTCTTCGAAGAGGCCATTCTGCTCCCTCCCTGACTCCTCCTTTGGGTATATTCCCTCACACCCCTGTGGTTTGCTGTGATTCACGTGCTGTCATTTGCTGCAACATCCCACAGAAACTCACACACACACTCAAAAAGTTGAGGAAATGTCTTTTCTGGTGGTGGGTGCTGCTCAGTCCCAAATCTGAAGGTCAGACAGAGGTGAGCCAAATGCAGAGTCCAGAGCCAGAAGCCAAAATGTCCAAAAGTCACAGCAGATCTTCTTGCTTCTACCAAAGCTTAGTCAGGTATGGTTTTCCAGGCGAGGTGATGTTAGAACTGTACAGTGATCTATGTATATGTATATCCATATCCATTGAAAGGAAACATAAGATAATGTCTTAAGTCACATGACTCTACTAAGACACCCCCAAGTAAACAAAGGGCGTGGCTAGGTTCACATGCACTCCAAAGTCCAGGCCTTGATCCCACCCGAGTTCTATTCAGATAGTGGAGAAGGGCCTCCATTGTGGGATTAGAGCCACAGGTGTGCAGAGTCCAGAATTATATCACACAGGAATTATGGCTCGGAGGGATATACTAATTGACTACTACTCAATATTTGTGCTAATTAAGCTTCCCCAAAATGCATTGCACGACCAAGCGCAGAGTCAACGTGAGAGCACACCTGAATCCTCAGGGCTATGGTCATGGAGGGACCAGGTGTCCGTGTACCAGATTGCTGCCTTTTTCTGTACAACACAGCAAAACGTGTTTCACTGTGATTTGAGTGAAAGTCTGTGGAGCAAGTTCATTTTCCCCTCGACCATTCCTACACAGTTTGTTTGGTGACACGGATTACAATGCCCACAGTGTTACCGGCCCTTCCCATTTCCTGCTTGTTGTTCCTGTTTCCATTCGTCCTTCCTTCCTATCCCCTCCTGCCTTCGGAGCTTTATCCCTGGGCTAATGTTGCCCTTTGGATCTGGTATGGTTGATTGTGCTGAGGAGTATGTTCTTATTATGGTTCACCATTATTATTATCTACCTCATTGGCCTGATTATGCAACTGTGGGAGATGAGTGCAGTTCCACGCTTGAAGGGTGAGTAAGGGCTGTGTGTTAGTCTGGGTTGACTAGAGAATCTAATTCATAGGCACTCATATACATGTGAGAGAGAACTTTATATCAAAGAGCAATCATACATTAAGAAAACCTCCCAGTCCACTCCAGATCAAGTCCATAAGTCCGATATTAACCCATATGTTCGATACCAGTCTGTAAATTCCTCTTCAGACTAACGCAACACATGCCATGATGCTGAGTGCAGGAATTACAGGTCAATGAGTGGAAAGTCTTGTGGATCCAGTGGTGGTGGAAGCATCTTAGCACTGGCGTGGGTCTCCACGTGGCTCCTCCAGCTCCAAGGCTCTGGCTGCCATCAGTGTAGCTCCATGTGGCTTGTCAACAGGAATGTCTCACAGGGAGACGAAGCAGAGAGAAAGTGTGTCCCACCTCCGGGGAGGGAGACAGGAATCCCTAGAATCCTCAGGAGAATTTTTAATAAGATTGAAGTATACATCTTCCCAAGTCATAGAAACTTTAAAAGAAGCTTATAGGAATGTTGGTCCACATAAAACATTGGTTTCTACATTCCTCAAGCCTTTAATTAAGGTTTGGAAGACCTCAAAGTCAAGCCAAGAGGGAGAATTGTCGATCTTATTGAGTGTGTTAGTCTGGGTTGACTGGAGAAACAAATTCATAGATACTCGTGTATATAAGAAAGAGATTTATATAAAAGAACAATTATGTATTGATTAAACATCCCAGCCCAGTCCAGATCAAGTCCATAAGTAGGATATTAGCCTATATGTCTGATACTAGTCCATAAATTCCTCTTCAGACTCATGCAGCACATACAATGATGCTGAATGCAGGAAGATCATAGGCCAGTGGGTAGAACATCTTGTGGATCCAGTGGCAGTGGAATAATCTCAACACTGGCATGGGTCTCCATGTGCTTTCTGAGTGTCTGAACACCAGTAGAGGGAAGGCAGAGAGACTGAGTCTGGCCTCCCGTGAGCTATTTGTCTTCATCATGCTTCCCAATGAGGTCACCAAGCTGCGACCTGATTGGCTATGCTAAACTCCACCCCTTTGCTCACGTTAAAGTTGACAGGAGATTATGTAACTGCCACAATGAGTAAAGCCACTATGGCCCAAGTCTAAAAACTGAGGGGAGAAGATTATAGAATTACCTTTGAAGTGACAGCTACTTACATTGGAATCTCACATGGTTTGAATGCTTCAATTTTAAGTGAATATCTTGACCTCAGTAAGCGGTTGGCTTGATGGGTGCCCGAAGAGCTGCATTAAGATCAGATAGCTCAAAGCTAATCTTTACACCGTCTTTTAAGCAAGATCAAAGCTAATGAGGATGATTCTATGCAATAAATCATGACCAGGGATGAGTCGTAGATTTACCAATATGATGCAGAGAGAAAGGTCCAATTTAAACAGTGACTGCCAAAGGGGGTTGCTGGGTCAGTTAGATTCAAGCCCGAGAGGTCAACTAAGAAGGTTGTGTTGGCTGTTTGGGGACCTCAGAGGGGTAATCTAGACTTTTTTCAAAGGACACATGATGTTCAAAAGAGCTTATTAGGGAGACATTTTAAGAAAATCCAAAATGTCACTGGTAAGAAAAAGGTCAGAAAAATGGTACCATGGAATTTCTGCCCCCAACCTATCACAACAGCGGACCTCCTTATTTAAGGGTGACAAGGGGTCTCCTACAAGAATTTCATTGGAAACCTTTTGCCCACCCACTCTTCATCCTTGATCTTGCCCCTTCAGACTTCTTTTTATTCCGCAAATTCAGCGTTTAGAAGGAGGTGAGTGCCTTGAAGATTTTGATGTGGTGTGCGTCAAGGAATACGCAGCTTTCCAGGGGAGGTGAGAGATGCGAGCCCTGCTTTCCAAAGTGTGCAGACCTAGATGGAGGGTATGTCTAGATGAAGTAGCTTCACATTTTATATTGCTGAGCAATAAGATTTTACATGGTTTATAGCAGTAGTTTTGTTTGTGCTTTCATAGCCAGTTCACGTTCTTTTTCTGTATTAGACTGCCGAATTTTTCTCAAACCATCTTTTTTCTGTTCTTAGTATGAAGTCCTAATTCTAGGAAGACCTCGGGTAGCATTGGATGGTAGTGGATGGATGGATGGATTTTAACACTGTTAGCCGTGGTCTGGTGCTTCTCAGTCCTTTGATGCCGCTCCGTCTAAAGGTTCTGGAAGGATGAGACCCAGGCAACTCCAAGTAAGTGGATACTAATTATTTCCAATTGGAACTTTTACCTAAATCATTCCTTACTTCCTTGATATTAAGGTAGGTCAGGCTGAAAGAAATCTTCCTTCATATTCTCTTTTCTCACTGTGGTCCCTTACACAGAGCTCTTGCTTAAGCATCCAGCATCTTTACTCTCCATCTGAGTCAGCCTCAGGCGGCGAAAAGAGAAGCCATCTTGACCAAGAGAACTTCCTTAACACAAATATTTCTGACACGATTTCCAGCCTTGGAGAGACGTTCGTTGTAACTTCCTGGACACGTGAGTATATTTGTGAGATAGGTGTTATGTCTGCGTGTCTGTTTGAATGTATGTACTATGATCCGATGTATATCTAGGATTCTTTAGTACATTTTCATAGTTTTCAAAGAATGCTAGCATACATCTTTATGTACACACACACACACACACACACAAGTATAAGCCATGAAACTCCTTTGCATGGTTGTATGAGCTGCCCTCTGCCAAGTTTTGTTTTTGGTACAAAACAACCTTCAGGGCAAAACTCATCTGTTTCATTATGCAGTGGCCATATGGGAGTATTGTAATGCCTGGGGCTTTTTAGCTGAAGAAGACTTGGGGCCAAATCCATTTCTGGGCATCCGTGTGTACAGCCTATATATGTGGTCCATACCAAGTAACCTGTTTACAATTTCTTTGTACAAATCATATGGTAGCCAGTTGTTGTTTGCCTTTTTCAGTTGGAAAGACACATGGAAACTAGCTCTCTGGATGTACAGATGTGGGTTCACTGAAGCTGAGAATTTACATAGGCTGTGTTTCCCATGCACTCTGCTTTATGGCAGTTCTGCTTATGGCCCCAAATGTTTTGTTTGTAGTTTTCCCCCCCTCTATTCAGATTAAATTACTTGTCCTTCTCTGTTTTCATAGCAGAGGTCTAAAGAGGAAGCTGTCTATTTTTTCTTATTGTTTTGTATAGTGATTTTAATGTACAAGTGAAACCTATAAAAGCCAACTCAGCGAGACTGTCTTATTCTTCGCGGTCTTGGGTACAGTCTTACTACTCTTCTATCGCTGCTCAGAGTGGAAAACATTTCAATTTTCCTTCTCTTTTTCTGCCTCCTTACACAGTTTCCAGTTTTCATGGGGTTTGCTGCACAAGGAATTAAGAGTGTTAAGTGAATCTTGTCTTAGGTCATTCACAGAGTACTTCTGCATGGAAACCTTGTCACTGAAAAGTAATCCTTAGTTCCTTTAAAAGATATCGTAGGGCCAATTAGCTGTGAAGTTAATTATCTGAACAAACATAACCAGTTGCCAATTAGAGGTCTTCAGTCGCAATTCAGCTCGTCCAGAGCGAATATCTAGGAGTTGGTCAACCAAAGTTGACTGTCTTGGAGATGGTAAGCCAGTGCTTTATTTGCTTTAATAGCAAATATCCAGGTATCAGGGAACCCTGATGGTGCTGTCGGGTAAATATTGGAATGCTAACAGTAAGATCAGCGGCCAAACCTACCAACTGCTTTAGGCTCGAGACGGTTGAGGCTAGCTGATCCTATGAAGATTTACAGCCTCTGAAAACCCATAGAAGGTCCCCGTGAGTTGAAATCCACTCACTTGCAGTGGGTTTGATTTTGGTTGAATCACTGTTGTATCACTTATCAAGCTTTTCTCCTTTATAGCAATCAATCGCACTACCTGTGTCTCTTTAAAGATGTTGGCTTATTTTTTAAAAGAGGCTTGGGAATTAATGCAAGAGTCGTGGGTATGGGTTACTCAGACAGCTTTTGAAACCCTGAGGTGAAGTGTGACTTTCCTTAAGGTCCCTATGAGTTGGAATAAAGTCGATGACATTGTATATAAGAGGTGCACATAATGGTACAATTATAAGTATAACCATGTAAAATTGTAAGACCTCAGATTAGAGTCTATTTTATTGCCCCATTCTAAGAAAAAGGAGATAATTCAATGGCAAAGAGTAGGTAGCCAATCTTGGGGAAATTACATTTTCTGGGCTCTAATTACTCCGTTCCTAAATAGTGTTTTATTAATGAAAAAAGACTAAACACCTCAGTTATTAGTTTTATACATTGAGATGCGTAAGTATTAAACTCTGTTCCACAGCTTACTGACATGCTTTCTTTCTCCTGAGTACACCAACTGTCAGAGGAACAGAACACACAAAAGGAAATCAATAGGAAAGCAATCAGCCTACTCCTGGAAGGCTTTCATTTAGCACATTGGTGTTAAACAGCCACAGCGGATAGACTTTAAGTAGTGTCTCAGGAAAATGGACGGTGCCGATGAGAACAAACAATGGAAGAAGAATACCAGAGGGCACCTTGCAAAGAGGATTATGTTTTGCTTAAGAAAGGAAATGTACGTGATTTATAGACATGTAATAAATCATCAAAATAGGGGAGTGAGGAAAACTGTCACGTCACTAGCTGAATAAGGAAAGCTGACCTTTCGTCACATTGACCCTGGAAAAACATTCTCTTACTGTACAACTTTCCATTTTATTCTCTGGAAGGAGGGGTCCTGAAACTATCGAAGTTTCCTTAATGAAAATCCCTCTCTATTCTTTTCTTACTTGGTAACTCTCTCTCTCTCTCTCTCTCTGAAGATTGAGGTTTGGAGTGGAATAGAACCTGACCTTAGATAGAGGAGGAGAATACCAGATTTTATCTTACTTCAATTTTTTTCAGTGGCTACAAAAAAGGTTCCCAAAAGACAGTAACCTGAAGTGCGGTGTCAGAATTCATTACTTCATCTAGGGTGAACGAGTTCTCTGATAATAATCCGTGTCAGCCATACCTGAAAACAATATGACTATTCTGTACCACACTGGGAAATGACCCAGTGGTCTGGCAGACTTCCAGAAGGATCGTTCAGGGATAACTTGGTTCTCCTTATCACTCCGGTGAGATGGAACACCCAGATTTCTTCCAGGGTGCAAAAGAATTGACGGATGAACTGGTAGTTACTACCTGAGAAAACGAATGGAAGAAACCACTTTTCTCAGTGACTCTTAACCCTTAAAAAGGACCTAGGGTTGGAGATGGTTTATTCTGCATTTTATTCTGTGGTCCCTTCCTAAATTATTTTTGTAGGTTTACATGATTTCTAGGTAACACAAATGAGATTTGTACCACCTCCTGGGTAATGATTTTATTTGCTCCGCTAGTAACCTAGTCTATCATTTGACGGTACCTAAGGCCGCGCCGTCTTTCTCCTTTCAGATTCACGTGCATTTGGCTTCTTCTCCCTTTGCTTGTTTGCCATGTTCTGGACACACCGGCGTTCTTGCAGTTATTTGAATAGTCCAAACTTGAAGCCACAGCTGGGGCTTTATACTGGCTATTTAGATCTATAGGAAGCTATTCTCCCTCGGCATTCCTGCTTCTGTCCGTCCATCATCCCAACACATCGTATCTAGTCTAGGTTCATTTTTGTCTACACCCTTCACCAGTCACTGTCTTCATATCGCCATTTTTCCTCAGCTTTTGGAAGCTAATCTTTTCAGTTCTCTGATCACATATTCATTGGTTAATGGTTATTGATGGGACCTTGCCCATCTGCCACATCTGTCTCCACAGTGCTCCCACAGTGACGGGCATACCGAGCTGCTCAGGAACTACCAGTGGCTAAAGGAGGCTTCCTTTGGCTCAAAGAGTCCATCCCCTGCTGATGGCCAAGCACTCCAGACTGAAATGTCGGTGCTGGAACAAATAAAACGATGTTTTGGCGAATTTCAATGCTCTGGAGGGTGGTTGTTGAGTGGGTAGAAAGGGGGTAAAAGGAAGAAAAATGCACTTACTTCTGTGGTCCCAGGGATTTTCTTGTTTCCATTTTCCTGGCTGTCTTCGGGCAGATGTTTAGTTGGGATAGAAGCTGCCTTATTTATCCCCAAGCTGTTGGGTCTTTTCTTTTATGGTGAGTAGGCCTTTGTGTTGGGGCGGACCGGGAGACTTCCTGCTTACTCCAGCTCAGACATCTGTTAGTCCGACAGACATTGCTTCATAGACTTCAAATGACTACTTTCTTGTATGAATGGAAATATGTTGCCTATCAGGGGCCAAGTTAAAAAAAAGTGTCCCATCGGATATCCTTCTAAGGAAAGCATGTGCTTATAAATGTGAAAACAGCTATTACTCTGAAAAGGAATTATTAACATGTATTAACTTTGATAAAAATTTTTTTTAAAAACTAACTCATTTCCATTGATACAAACTGTTTGTTTTTCAACTGGGATATTCATAAACTTCAATTATAAAATTAATGACAGATGTACAAGAAGTAATATATCTGGCCTCCACATGCTTGCAATGCAGTTAGCCCTTTTAAATGCCCATTAAAAACACTTCCTTTTTCATAGGACTGAAGAAAATTTGAAAGTGATAAGCTTATTATTTTAATCTGTTCTAGTTTATAACCTTCTTTGATTTAGACAGCTCATTTAATTTGAAGCATTTTTCCTTTGCTTATCATCTACCTGTCCCCAAAGATTTCATTTTGTTAATGGCAACTAACAATGACTTTAGATGTCATTGTGTGAGGGCTGGGTCCATAAAGCAC